CCAGGACGAGGGTTAGGTTCCTCTAATGCCAACACTATATAGTATCCTCTCACACTCTGATGAAGCATCAGGCAGGTGTGGGTGGGCCTCCAAACTGGGTCCCAGCCTAAGAACCCACCTGCTCAAGGCCCTGCCTCATCTTTGCTCCTGGTGGCAGCAGGCCCAGGCCCAGGCACCTCCTTCCACTCCTACTTCACACAAATACGCACCTTCTCATCCTGTTTCTCCTAGGTCTCTGTTGGGTTTCTGTATCCTTTCTCTATACCTTCCCTCTGAGGAGGCCTCTCTTTCTGAGTCTTCCCCCCCAACTCCTCAGGTTTGCATGGTCCTCAGTATGTTCCTGCTCTGGCCTTTATTTATGGCTGGTCTGGTTGGGGGGTTGTGCTGTCACTTGTACAAGCTGGATTCATAGGGAAGACGCAAGGGTCTTGTGTCCCAAATTTAGCTTTCTGAATTCTGGGGGTATCCCTATTCTGGTGCACACACACACACACACACACACACACACACACACACACACAACACATGAGCTCCAAAAGAGGAATTCCTACAGACCTGCACCCTTAGGTGAACAGCATGACTCAAGTATTCAACATATGGGGAGGCCGGCAGCACGGAGCCTCACACGTGGACACAGTGCTTCACCCACACAGGCAAGAGCCCACACTGAAACAGAGTTGCAAAACCCATGCACCCTCCTTCCAAGATCACGCCCCCACTCTCCCAGCAAGCCCCCCCCCACAGTGCTGCACAGTGCCACTGACACCCACTCACCCCCACCCACTGATCCTCCCTTGGCACCCGTTCTCCACGCTCACAACCACCCGCATCACATGCTGCCATCCCCTCCCCAAGCTGAGCACATGTACCGGCACACACACAGCACCCCCCCATTTACCTATTCCCTGGGGGCTTTCCTGCTCCCTGTTCCCAAAGCCCCACCACCTTCCTTTTCTTCCACCTGCTCCTGCTCCCCTGACTCTCAAACCCTGGCAACACAGTCCTCTGGGAGGGAAACACCAGGTGCATCTGTCCAGGCAGGGGCACAGCTAGCAAGAGAGCGCCTCTGGATCCTTAGGGCCTGAATGTCTGCTCAGCCCCCAGCCCTTGGAGCGCTTCGGAGGCTGTTCAGGATGGAGCAGGGGTCAGGCCTGTGGCCACACCCTACCACCCAACCTCATTCTGCATGTGGTTCTCACTGCAGCCTGGCCAGCCTAGGGCTAGAAAGGGGTTCCCGGGTACCTCCCCACAAGCAGCACACCCGTCACCAACAGCATGCAGGTCTCTGTGTGGACTGCTCCCCTCTCTAGATCTGGGGCTGGCTGGAGGGAGCCTGCCCCCCCTTTCTCTCTTCCCCCCACATTCTCCCTGTTATTCAGCAAAGAAAGAACAGCTCCCCTGCCCACCTCTGTCCTCCCCATGCCATCACTTGGACTTCCGCCCAGCACAGCTAGGGGAAGAGGGTCCTGGGGTGCCAGTATGAAACACCCCATCCCTTTCCCTCAAGTCAGGTTTGATGAGCTCAAACCCAGCTAGTCCCAGGGTCTGGGACCACTCTCCCACTGAACAGGGGCCATAGCTGACCCCTCCCCAGGGGGTCCCAGCCACCACCCAGAGCCCAAAGTGCCCACAGAGGGGAAGAGAGGTGGGAAACCTTGCCACCTACCTCTTCCCAGACAGTGTGGCCCAGACGCTCTGAGGCCCCCAGGCCAGGCCAGGCAGGCACAGGCCCAGATCCCCGGGGGCTGCCGCTTTTTCTCAAGAGCCAAGGTAACAGGCGTCTCTTCCAGGAACCCAGCCGCGCTTTCCCAGAGCACAAAAAAAAAGCCGGCTTGGCTCCGGGGTAGGTGGGTGGGTGGGTGGGGGGAGCCGGCACAGGAGGGGACCTACCCTCTGGGCCCCCACCCCCTCGTCCCCACCCTGCTTCTCGGGGAGCTGGTGCTCGGAGCCTGCGTCTGGCGGGGCGGGCGGGCCGCTGGCTCCCCCGCGGCACCCCCCCACCTCCAGCTGATAGCGTGTGGCCGCCCCAGGGTGTGTGTGTGTCTGCTCTTCCACCTCGCTCGCCGCAGCTCAATCCGTTTCAAACAAGAGGAGCATTAACCAGGCATCATGACGAAGCAGAATCGGAAGCAGACCTGGCGAGCGGCTGGCCTTTCCCCTTTCCCATAGTCCCAACCCTGCGACGCTCCTGCCCGCTCACACACATGCACGCGCGCACACACAGACACACACACACACAGCCCCTCAAGCCTCATCAGAAACAGCCAGTTTGAGTTGGGGTGGGGGCAAAAGGGGGCTCTACTGATAACCGAGGGGTGACAACACCTCAACACCAGCACCTGCATCTCCTACTCATCACCTAAAAGCAAGCGACAGAGGCCTCCGGGGGCCCTGCCTCCCTAGGGTGCTAAAGGGCACAGATGTTCAGGGGCAAGGAGAGGACAAAGATGCCAGAATTGGTCACCCAAGGAAGGATTAACCCCCTCCTGGTGAGGGATGGATGGGAGGATCCTCAGCACCAGAGACTGGGCTGGCCCTTAGGTCACCTGGATCCCCTGGAAACTGTGAGAAGGACCCTGTCGCTCACCAGGGCAGCTGCATCAGAAGGGAATTTCCTGCCCGGTGATGTCCAGGGCCTAGCACAGAACTACAGGATGTGCCTTCCCTGAATGGGAAAACCCTCACCACTCCAGGGCCCTGCCACTGGCCCGTGGTTCTTTCTGGGCTCAGAGCAGAGCCTGGTTCATTTGTGACCCCTGGGGGTAGGGGAGGGAGCCCAGCGGGCTGACCTCAGAGGGCTGACCCTGGCCGTGGCCCCAGCCTCCTCTCCACCTCACAGCAGACTTGCCTACCTAGGCAGCCCTTGCTGTTGCCCTGGTAACCGCTGCCCACAGCCGGTCAGCTGATGGTATGAGCTGTCCTTGGGGAAATCTAGAATCTGGGGAGGGGGCTTTGGGGTCTCTGAGTGGAAAACCACAGGGGAAGGGTCTTTAGGGGGACAGGTGACAGTGTGCCCCGGACCTCCTTCTCGAAGAAAAGAGGACAGGAGGGGACAGGTAGGGACGGGAAGGGAGGCATGTTTGGGGTAGTGGAAGGCAGAGGAGAATGAATTCTGAAGGATGGGCTCCAGAAAGAAAGGAGAAATGAAGAAGGCAGGCAGCGGAGTGGCTGAGGAAGAATCTGGCTCAGCTGCTGGGGAGTGGCTGGGAGAGGGCCCTGCAGAAAGGAACCAGAAATCCTGGCGGTGGGGGAAGAAACATCTGGGGAAAAAAGGTCAGGACATGATGCAGGAGGGGGTGTACCTATGGTGTGGCAGGACGGGCACCAGCCCATCTGGGCAACCAGCCCGGCCCCAGGCAGCCTCTCGGCTCTCCTCCCGTGAAGCCCACCCTTCCCGCCCGGCCCCACCCGGTCGGCTCTACACAGCCTCCTGCCACCCTTCCAGGAGCCCAGCGCCGGTGCCTTTCCACCCCAGCCCCGCAGGATCCCCGATTTTCCCCGCTGCCATGTTCCTGCCCTGCTGCCACTCACCCCCCACCAGACCCCACCCCAGATTTGTCTTCCGGTGCAAGGGTGGCCAGAGGCAGGGCTGGAATGCGCTGTTGTGGGGAAGGACAGCTATGGACAGGGGCCTGGAAGGAGACTCATGACGAATGGATCGGAGCCTCTGGGCCCGGGAAGAGGGGGGACATTCTCCTCTGCGACACGAGCACGTTGGATGGAGTGGGGAAGCCAAGCAGCCAGGGGCAAGGGCAGGGGGGAGGGGAGGGCTCTCCGGTACCTTCAGGGGCCTGGGACGTGGGGCAGGAGCACCGCGGCTTCCTCGGTGACATACACCTCCATCCCTCGGCGCATCTCCTCTCCGCCTCCCGTTGCCAAGACAACCTGCCGGCTCAGCGGCGGCGGCAGCAGGGAGGGGGGAGGAGGCGGCGGTGGCTCCCACTGCCTCCTCAGTGATGGAGGGAGGTGGCCTGAGGTCTGCCTCCGTGCTGGGGTGGGGGTGGGGGAGCTGCCGCCCGGGCCAGGGCTCCCACTGAGTCTCCCCTACCCCATCCGGGAGGCTCTGGGGTTGGCTCCCGGGGCGGTCTCCGGACACCCCTAATTCAGGGCCCGATAGCAGGCGGGCCTTGCAGAGGGACGCAGCACTGGACAGTGTCCCCCATTCCAGGAAGCTAGGTGTGGAGCTGGGGAGGAGTGATCGGAACAGGGAGGGATGACTGTGTAGAAGGGTCAGAGGGTGGCTCCCAGCAGGAGGGCAAGGCCCTCTCCACGCGCCCCCCCCTCCGCAAGCATGGCTAGGGTGGACAAGGGGCTGCGGGCCCAGAAGCCTGCCCCCTTGTGGGACCTCCGCTAGCGCTGAGCACCTCCTCCCAGTCCTAAACCCTCTCTTCCCCTTGACCAAAGGGAAAGTCTTCCAATCCTGCAGAGCCCATTCCCGCTGCCCCCCACTCTCTAGGAATGTCCTTCCACGGGGTGGGAGAGCCACCTTGTGCAGGAAGAGTCTGCCACCAGCCAGCCCTGGAACCGAGGGGACTGCAGAGTTAGGGCTCCCTCTGTCGACCCGAGGCGTGGTAGCTGTCAAGGTCATTCCTCACTGAGAGGGATCCTGGGGTGTGTGTGTGTGTGTGTGTGTGTGTGTGTGTGTGTGTGTGTGTGGTGGATGTCCACGGGGAGGGCACAGCCAAGCCAGGAGACCCTTCTCTTCGCCTGCCCTGCTCCACTTCTACCTCCCCTCCGGTCTTGCCCAATGGTGAGACTTGCTCTGCCCAGCAGCCCCTTCCTCCTGAGACAGGCCCGGACTCCTCAAGGCCAGTGGCCCATGCTCCCCACGCCCGACGCCATTGCTTGCCTGCCTCTCCTTCAGGCTGGGGTGGGAGGGGAGGCAAAATCTTCCTCCCAGAACCAGGCAACACTGAACACCCGTGCCGGTTGTCCAGGCCTCAGGGCAGGCTCCCTGGGCACCCCTTGGCCATACCCAGCTGCTAAGGGGACTCGCCTACCTCTCAGGAGTGCCTTGAGGCCTTGAGGATGGCCCCTGCGTCCACGACCAGGCCTGGGGCTCCTGCCCCTCTCAGGCAGGCGGTCCCAGGCCCCAGACACGGAGTCCTTGGCTAGGACTTCTGTGGTAGGATCACTGGTGCCAGCCGTCCTGACTGGACTCCGGCCCTGCCACCAGCCCCCTCCCAAGGCCTGCGCGATAGGCCTCTCTCCTCTGCCTCACTCCACTGCCCCTCGCCCCGCCCCATGCCCCAACCTGCTGAGACTGGGAGCACCAGGGACTCTCCCCTCTGCCTGGGCCATCTAAACATTAACTCCCCGGGAGGCTTACTAGGGCACCCAGGCACCTAAGGAGAGGGGAAAGGTGACAAAGAACTGGGCCACGGGAATAAAAGGACGGACAAGGGCCCAGAAGTGACCTTTTCTCAAGAGTTTGGAAGTCACACCCCTCTACCTCTGTGCACTGGACCCTCTGTCTCATGGACCCCAGACCCTCACCCCCCAGCATGCTGCCATCAGACCAGCCTCTCCACGAAACCCAACCCCACAATTGCACGGTCACTCTCAAAACCCCTGCTGCTACAAAACTTTCCATAATGTGACCCAATCTTTTCCTGCCTCTTCTCCAGGCAGACATGCAATTGTAGCCAAAGCCATGGGCTGCTCACTTTCCCCCCGAACACACCTCACATCTTCCTGCCTCAAAGCCCTTTTTTCTCATGCTCTTTTCCCCTATTTTCCCTTGAATGTCTTCTCTGCTGAATGAAATCCTGCTCATTCTTTTATTTTTATTTTTTTGGAGGGAGGGACAGAGAGAGAGAGAGAGAGGATCTCAAGCAGACTCCCCACTGAGCTTGGAACCTCAAGACCCTGAGATCACAACCTGAGCTGAAGTCATGAGTCAGACACTTAACCGACTAAGCCACCCAGGCACCCCTGAAATCCTTAAAGACCATGCAAGCCCCAGCCTTTCCCAATGCCCTGGCCCCATGTACTCTCTCATCCCAAACCCACCATGCCTGGCTGGAAGTGGAAAACATCCCACTCAGGCAATGAAGACAGGCAAGAATCTAGACTGTAATGCTCACTAGCTGAGACCATGGATGAGTTAATATCTCTGAGTCTGAGCTCGCCCACACATGATATGGGAATAATCTCAGCCCCTGAATAACAGGTTACATGTGAGCATGCCTTGCAGGCTGCCTGGCACATCTCCAGAGTTCTGTACACATTTGTGTCCTTATTTCCAATAGCTCCTATCTCCTTTTTCCCTCTTTTAGGATGTACCAAGTGCCTCTTTGCTATCTTAGGTGCAAGAGAGAGATTTCCACAAGTCCTTAAATTTCAAGTGCCTCAAGATCTTGACATCTTTTTTGTTAACTGAAGGGTTAGTACAGTGCTTGTACATTGTAGGGGATAAAGAAATATTTGGATTAACCGCTTAGGACCCGTCCTCACCCACGTCCACCTAAGGATGGAAGGTGGAGGCAGGATTCTGGTTCTCATTCTGCCTCCATCTTGAGGGTGTTGGGCCAAAGACTTCTTTCTGGACCTTCAGTTGGTTTAATTCCCTCAACAAATACTTAATCTGTGTAACGTACTCTGCTGGGGGGTACTACGGGGGAAGCAAAGACTGACTACCCCTATACGGAGGCACTTGTTTTGTGCACAACCATTACACAAGCACAAATAAGTACAGTTCTGGACAAGCTGGGATATGTGCCATTAGGCAAGGGCAAGCAGGTGGCCAGAGAGCCCTGTGGCATCAGAGACCACCACTAGCCCAAGAGAAGGGGCAAGTCTACGGGGCAGAGTGGACAGCAGCAGTCTGGGCATGCAAGTGTTCTGGAGAAAGGTGTGCTGGACAGTAGGAACTTCATGATCCAAGACAGGCACGGGGTGTTGGCCAGACAGCCAGGGTTGCTGTTTTGCCAGAGCTCCTGGAGGGGACTTACAGGGACAGGGCTGGGAAGGGAGGTAGAGCAGGATTGCACAGGAGCCTAGAGAATCATGCTAAGGAGTCCACTGGTGATCACATAACATAGGCAGAGCTGTGGTTTAGGGTGGGGTAGGATGAGCAGAACAAACCGTGTGATGTCCTGGAGTGGGTGGGGATGTCAGGAGGCAGAGACAGGGCTTGGAAAGCTACTGTAGTAACGGAGACGGACCCCTGCGAGGTCTGGAAATGGTGCAGAGTTTGGAGAGAAAGCAGTGGTGTGCAAGGGGGTGACAGCTGACATGCTGCATTGCTAGGAGAGACTCAGCAGGGAGAACAAGGCGAGGAGGGAAAAGCAGAAATCTTAGGGAATGTTTCTATGAAGAGGAGCCAGGAAAGAGAAGGGTCCCGGTGACAGAGGATGAAGAGGTAGGAAAGAGCTTCAGAAAGGGGGGGGGGGTCCTCCAGAGTCCAGGGCTATGGGGCTGAGGACAGCTAGGTCTGAAGCCAGAGAGGTCACTGGCCACTGCAGAATAGGGACAGGGCTCAAGAGAGTGACTTAAAAAAAAGCCAGCTTGCAGGGACCAGAGAGTGAGTTGGTTTCCCCCTCTGCCTCATCTGGCTGTTGGAGGACGGGACAGAGGAGGGCAGATCAATACGCAGGCTATTCTTAGCTGGAGGTCTTGGTAAGCCTAACCAGCACAGGATCCGAGGCACCTGCTGCCCTCCCCCTCCACTTGGTCACATCCTCCCGGAGATGGATGCGCTCATCTTGCCCCAAGTCTTCCCCCACCATGTCCACCCCCATCGTCACACTTGCTTCGAACCTTCTGGCACACAGAAAGCAGCCAGGGCGGCTGCAGCCAGCTGCGGGGTGGTCTGAGGTCCTCAGGGGAGCCTTCTCCCACCGCCCCATGTTAAATCCCCTGAGGCCCCATTATCAGAGATCCAGTCCTTTGGCCTCTTCCTCTCAGCATCTTTGAAATCATCCCCAGTTCAGGGGACTGAACAGACTTGCCCAGAATATGAAGAGGCCCTCTGCATGTGGAGCCTGGACTTGGCAGAGGCACTGAAAGGTGTGGTGAGAAGGTTGGGAGAGCCAAACCCGAGACCCAAGGCCACCGGCAGGCGTCAGCCCTGCCGGCTCCGGGCTCAGGGCGGGGCTGGGCCCTCTCGGAGATGGCCCCGGCCTCGAGGCCGCCGTCCTCCCTCACCCAGTGCACTCAGTGTCTCCTCACCAGGTCTCACCTCAGAAAGCAAGAAAGGAAACAGTGAGGGCTTTCTGGAGTCGGCCCCCAGAGGCCTGTCTGTGCTGGGGAGGTCAGAGGGAGGGAGGGAGGGGCCGAGAAAGGCAGAGAAGAAAGCAGAGGCAGGACAAAGGGCTCGGTCCACCTTTGAAGCTGTCTCTAACCCGAGCCAGGGAGGGTGGGGTGGGTCTGAGAGCCCGGCTGGGGGGAGGCAGTCTAGAGTTTTAAAGAATGTCTTAAATTCCTGCGGAAATCAGCAGGATTGTAAGAGCCCCCCCTGCCCCCCAAGTCCGGACCTCCACACCTGGGGGCCCCAACCCTTTGTCCTCAGGTAATTGCTGGGCGTTGCCTCTGTGTTTAAAATCCCATTGAACTCTCCAGTTATCAGCTGTGGCTCCGGACCACCCTCCCTATCCCCCCCCCTCAGAAAACGACCCCCAACACGTCTCCCGCAGTCTTCACCAGGATTAGGGCTCTTTGTGATGGGGGGGGGGAGGAAAGCAACCTGGTGCAAAGCAATTATGACAAGCCGGGGGAGAATGTCTGTCCTGGGGCCCGGGGGACCTCCCTCTTGGCTACTGGCTTCTCAGTTGCCCAGGGTTGGGGGTGTCAGGCTGCTCCAGCACCAGCAGAGGAGAGGCAGGAGAGGGGAGGGGAGGGGAGAAGAGAGACCCCCCACCCCACCCCCACCCCCACCGCCACCGCCTAGGACTGCGGCTTCACCCACCTCCCGTTCTGACGAAACCAGGCTCCTCCCTAACTTCCCATTCGGTCTTTATTTTTAGGCCATTCTTGGGGAAAGTGGGGAGCAGGGAGGTCTTTCATCCTTCTTCCGCTCTCTCCATAATACTTCCCTCCGACAACTTCCCAGAAGGAAGAAGAAGGGGAAACTGAGGCCGGGGGGGGGGGGAGGTGGTCCAGCCCCAGAAGAGCGGCCTGGAGGCGGGGGGGAGGGGGGGGCGGGGACCTGCTGGGAAGGGCTTTCCCCTCCGCGAGATTAAAAGCCGGCGCAGAGGAGGGAAGGGGCGGCCTTTATGGCCTCTTGGTTCCACTCCCCAAAAGCACACCTGGAGGCGTCTGGGAAAGCCCACCCGAGAAGCCGGCGGCGGGGGCGCCCTCCCCCTCCCCCCTCCCCCGGGCCCGCCGCCCCTAATTGCGACTTCCCCTCAGGTGTGGCCCCCGCCCCCGCCCCCCGCGGGGACCCAGGGAACAAGAGGACGCATTCTGGCCCCCGTCCCCCTTCCGCCCGCCGGCCCCTCCCCTCCCCTCCCCCCTTCCCCCTCCCCTCCCCCGTCCTCACCGTAACGCTGCGATCCGGCTGCCGGCGGAGGCTGCGGCGTCGGCGGGGCTCCGGTGCCGGGCCTGCTGCTCCCCCGCCCGCCCCGCCCGCCCCCCGCCCGGCCCGCGGGCTCGGGTCTGCGTCGCCCCAACAGGTAGCACGGGACGCGCCGCGCAGCCAGGAAACCGGAGCCCGCGCGGAGGGAGGGGCCGCCAGCCTCGGCGGCGCAGGTGCGGGGCCTGCCCGGGCCTTCCCGGGCCTTCCCGGGCCACCCACGCCCGCGTGCCCCGGCGCCCCGCGCTCGCCGCCCCTGCACCTGCCGGGCGCGCCCGGGCCCCGCGCCCCCGGGGAGGCAGCTCCTGCGCGCGGCTTGGATCCCTCCACTCCGCCGTCAGATGACCCGTTTGCAGGAAAATGGTTTTATTCTGGGGCTCGAAGTTGGGGATGGGGGTGCAGGCCTGGGTGGTGGAATGTGAAAAATGACCATCCCTCTTTTTTTTTTTTCCCTCTCTCTCTCTTCCCTTTTTCTTTTCTTTTCTTTTCTTTTTTTTTTCCTGAAACGCACGCACAGATAAGTCCCTTCCTACAGTCTGGCCAGGAGGGATTTGGAGGCTGGGGGCAGACTGAGGAAGACTCCGCAGGCAGGGTTTAAAGAGGGCCCCCTCCAGACGGCGTGTGCCAAGGCCCGGAATCTGCTGCCCCGTCCACCTGCTTCGGGGAGCCCGAGTCCCGGTCCCGCTACAGCTCCTGGCCCCGGGGGTCTGCCCCAACCTCCACCCCCCCAGTCGGGTCTGGGGCGGCTGCCCTGAGGCCCCAGCCCTGGTCTGTGACAGTCCCGCCCCATCCAGCTTGAGGCCTCTCTGCTGCTCCTTGGTCCTCAGGGTCCCCCTTGGGGGGCTCCGGTTCCCTTCCCTCCACCCCAGCCTAGTCTTGGGATTAGGAAGGGAAGGGGATGGGAAGGCTGGTGAGGGGCCGCTGCCCCTTGTGTCCCTGACTACGTCAGGGGCTGTGGCCTCCGCGTGCGCTTGGTCCGGCGGGTGGGGGCCGAGCCCACGAACTCGAACTGCTTCTGCCTCTCGGCGTGGTTGGGGAAGGGCAGCTGGCCCTGGTAAAGGCGCTTGATGAAGTGGGCCTCTCGCTGGTTCTGGCGGCTGCGAGACGCCTGGCGTGGCCGGCCCTGCCTCGTGAAGGCCATGAACCAGCCCTCGTGCCGAGCATTCTGGAAGGCGGTGTAGTTGTTCTCCAGCACGATCTCCGTGAACACGCAGTCCTTGCTCTTCCCACTGGGCTGTGGTGGGGGAAGGGGGGGCAGTTTGTCCACCCGGCCTGTCTGGCTCATCTGCCTTTTGGACCCGTTTTGTAGGACCAAGGAGGGAGTGACAGGAGCTGTAGGCCCAGGTGAGATGGCCTGGTAAGAAGGGCACCCCTTTTGAAGAGGCCAAGGTGCGAGAAAGGAGCAAGCTTTGCGTGGAGTCAGATCTGAACTTGAATGCGGGCTTTGGCAGTATTTAGCTATGCTGAGCCTGGCTCCTGGGACGTGGCATCAAGACCAAGGTTATTCTGCAGCTCAGTGCCCACCCCGTGGGCACTCGGGCCACAGGAATGCTCCTCAATATGGGCAAATGGTACTGCTGGGTGCAGGGAAAGGAGGCAACAGTCTTTGATGAAGAGGCAAATGTGTACAGAATAGAGACTGTCAGGAGCCACACAGCCCCCCGTTTGACCCTATCGATAACCTTGACACTATGTCCATTTTCATAGATGAGAAGACTGAGGCTTGACCAAAACTAGCAAATATTTGGTGAGAACAGCCAGAATCGGAAGCCAGGATTGACAAATGCTAAAGGAAATGGGACTCTCTCTACACGACAGGGCCGGCCCTGCCACTGCGGAGTGGTCACACTAGCGGGAGGTTACGCGAGTGGGCAGTTAGTGTACGTTGTCCTGGTGGGGGATCCTGTGGACCCAGTGACCTCGGGGGAGCTTGTGGCCTCCTCTAGATGCACACTTGCAGCCCTGATCAGCAGTTAACCCTCAGCACAGGGGGCTGCAGTATCACGGAGGTGCTACAGTGCTGACTCGTTGATGTTGGGGGGCATACCCCATAAATCAGAGCCAAAGAGCCTCATGGATCAGTAAGTGCCCTCAGAGGACTTCTAGACCCACTGGGACTCATTTAAATGGAGAAAACAGAGAGTGGCTGAGTGTTGGGGGGTGAGGAGAAGCAGTCCTGGTTTGGGCCCAGTAGAGGAGAGTGGGGTGCTGTGGGGCACGCAGTGAGATCTATTCATTCAGCCACTGCCCCCCCTTTTGCTCCCAGGTCTCACCTTTCCAATGAGCTTGCCCCTCTTGTTCATACAGATGTATTTCTCACTCTCAGCACCCTTGATGCGCACACGGCTTCCAAACGTGTCCGTCTCCACTATGAGTTTGGCTATGATGGGGGAGGGGGAGAGAGACCTCTGTCCATCGGGGATGCCGGCTCAGGGTTGTGGCAGGGCCCCCCCCGCCCCCCGCAACCTCTGAACTTGGGTGGGGGGCACCGGGAGGCCCTCCTCCAAGAAGCCTCTCCCTGCTCTCCCACTCGGCCCTGCCCTGGCCCAGGATCTGGGGATGGACCAGGTTAGGCTGGCCGGTGGTGTGAGTGGCCTCTGGTGAGGGCTGGGTCTCACCAAACTTGTTGCCGTCCTCCGCGGTGGCAGAGATGCGACGCCCGGTGACCTGCACGTGCTTGCCACTGGTCCGGCTGTAGAGCTGGTACTCACGGATCTGCCGCCGGCTCAGCTGGTCGGTCATGGCGCCCTGGTCCCTCACGTACTGGTTAAAATTAGGAGACGGGTGATTCTCCCCCTTTGCGGTTACCAAGGGAAAAATAGTGTCAATTTGCTTTGGGTGACACCACCACGGGGCCATCCAGGGGAGAGGGCTGTGGAGGTGAGTGTAACGGAGGAGGCCATTTGTCCTGGGAAGCAGAGGTGCAGGGGAAGGGTATCTATGGCCATGATCTTCCCAGGCCAGTGGGTGAGCCAGTCATGATCTCTTGGCTCTCCATCTGCCCAGGCTTGGGGGACACTTGGTGGTCAAGTGTAGACCTGGAATTGTGACTCTGGTTGCTGGAAGGAACCTTCATAGTTATGGTACCCAATTTCTGTGTTCTATGGAGGAGGTGCCCTGGGTGACCCAGCTAATTAGAGACAGAAGCCCTGTTGTGCCTCTAGGATTGGAGCTTGTCTCTTCTCCAGAACTCCAGGGTCTTGACTCCATTCGCCAGGACAACCGGATTTCTCCTTCATCCTCCCCACTGGCCTTGAAGGATCCCATGCCTGGCATAGGTGCAAACACGTGCACACATGCACAAACACACATGCACACACAGCAGCTGACCTGTTAGGCTTACCGGGGAGCATTATGGGGAGCATTGTTTGGGTTCCTGCAAGTTTCCCCCCCACCTCCTGGGTATTTCTTTTCAGCACTAACTGTGGAATCCTGAGCTCCTGCCTGGCTTCCCCCTGCCCCTCAATTCTGGGTACTCAGGGCCCTCAGAGAAGCCCGTCCCCCTTTCACTGTTCCTCCCTGGTCTAGGAGTCAGGGAGGTTGAGGCTGCACAGCAAGAGGAGCCATCAGCAGTGGCCCCGTGGGCGCCAGCCTGTGCCACAATGTAACAGAGGCTCATGGCCAGTCGGGGCGATGCTGTTGCCCCCTCCATGCTCTCCCGGTTCCGCCCACACGTGGTGCAAAGCCAGGACGAGTACCTTCTCCGGCCAGTCTCTCCTTCCCTATCTACAACACTGAGTGGGAGAAAAACAGACCACTTCCTGTCCTCTCTCTCCAGTAAGGTGCAGACCAGATGACATTTCTCAGCTGCTTGTGACAGCTTCAACCCTACACTAAACTGTCTCTCTGTCCACTGGATCCTGCTGGCCAGACTCCCTCTGTCCCACGTCACTAAGGCCACCTTTATCCCAGGCCCAGTCACAGCCACCTAGGCGACCTGGGCCCAGATCAGCATCTGTTAGAGGCCACTCTTTTGTGGAGGGAGGAGCAGGAGCAGGAAGGATCAGCTTTGAGGAAGGGGGTGGTGAGTGCTTGGCTCCAGGCTGACCCTGTAACCTGCTCAGGGTTAACCCTTCGTGTGTGTCACTGCTCATTTCCGACTCCAGAGAGGCCATAGGCTGGAGTGGCCGCCAGGACCCCCACCTATGAGAGCAGGGTCTGGAGCCTCAGAGCAGCAAAGTGTGCCCCGCACCCCATCCTGGAAAAACCTGAGGCAGGCATTTGGGGTGGGGGCCTGCCTCCCTACCAGTGGGTGGGGTCTGGCTGGCCCCGGACCCTCCGTGGGGTCGGCCTGGCCCCAGCCCCCCAGCCTCCTGGCCCAGGTTCAGGCCCTCCGCCCCTCTTGGCGGGCAGCCTCCTTCTGGCTGTCTGTTCCAGGTCAGGAGCAGGGAGGGCCCCCCTGAAGCCCCCTCCTCTCCTTGTCCCCCTTCAGGCCCTGCACAAAAGCAGCCCCACGCCCCCCCCACAGCCCACAGCCCACAAGTCGCTCTCCCCGCGGGACCTGGCCTGTCCCTTTCATGTTCCCGCTGCGGGGGCACCTCCCCTTCCACTGCTGCAGACAGCTGCTTGTCAGACGGCCCCTCAAGCATGGCTATGGTCCGGCCTGCCGGCCCCCCCTCCAGGGGGGGCGAGGGGGCACTTCAAGGGGGAAAGGACAGCTTTGCCACCTTCCCTGAGTCCTGAATGGGGCCTCAGCCAGGCCATAAACGCCCCGGCCAGCCTCACCATTGTGCTAATTCCCCTTCCAGAACAGGTTGGGCCCACCCCCGGCCCCCTCCCGGCCAGGCTGGGGGCTTTCTTCTTGCTCTCCCTGGATGTGTGAAGCAAAAGGCCTGGAACGGGGGGCTAGAGCAAAAGGGGGAAGGGGGGGGAGTTGTCTCTCTCTCTCCCACCCCCCCACTGCTTCAAAGGCAGCCCCTTTCCTTCTCCCAGAGAAAAGGCATTTACCTTCAAAAAAAGTCCCCACTGGATATGAAGAGAAGCGGGCCTCTGGCCTGGGAAAGCCAAGCGATCTCTCCCCAGAGCGGTTCTGGACGAGTGCATTTTAATAGCTGCACTTTTATGGAGGATCACAAAAAGGGACCGAGCCTCGCACAGGGGGCTGAGGCTTGGGGTGGGGGTATGTGTGCATGGGGGGCTGACACGGGGTGGGGGGAGCATGAAGATGCAAACCCTGAATCTTGTCCCAAACAAACCTCTCTGGGCTTGACCTCAATGCCCTGTAGGTAAGGAGTCACCTCGCCCGGGCTGGGCATCTGACTGCCCACGCAATCCCCAGCACGGTGACTCCCCGGGGACATCCTTGTTGTAGGGACTGGGGTAGCCAGTGGACACACAAGTGGTTTTCAGGGACCTCCAAGTATAAGCCTCACCTGAGCCAGAGCCTCGGCCCTGTACCTCCCACTCCAGACTCCATGCATTTAGCTTTTGGGGGAACCCATGTGGCGGGATGGAGAGAGAAGCAGAGACCCCAGGACAAGTAGGGAGGGTCATGGAGGAAGGATAGTCAGTCAACCCCCAAACCTGCCTTAGCCCCTTCTTCTGGCCTCCAAAGGCTGACACCATTCCCGCCCTCCACCTCAAAAACCATCTGGGTCCAGGGAGAGGCCAGAACCTGGCTCTGTCGGCCCAAAGGAGACTTACCCCCGCCCCAGCTGGGTGGGGTGGGAGAGATGGGGGGGAAGCTAGTGAGGTGGGGCGCCCGCCTACCTGGGTTTGACAGCAGAGAATCAGTAGCTGCAGGCACCTGTGTGGGAAGACAAGGCAGGCGCTGGTGTGGGTGCCAGCAGTCAGCCCAGGGCGAGCACCCAGTCACCACCACCCCCCGCACTCCCCCACCCCTCCGTGTGGGAGTCCCGGTAAGATTAGGTCTGCCCCAGGCTGGAAATGGCAACAGAACTTCGGCCCAGAGAGGCAGCGCACTTACAGAGTGAGGTTGGGCAGCAGGCGGGTGGCTCCCATCGCCGGAGAGATTTCTTGGGGAGGTTGCCCCCCTGCCCCCAAACTCAGGAGCAGATATGGGCAGTTCCCCAGGGGCAGAGTCCCAGAGAAGCCAAGGTCTCTTCAAGCCACAGGTTTTCAGGGGGGAGAGGAGGAGAGAGAGGGGAGGAGGAGGAGGAGAGAAGGGAGGGGAGGAGGAGTGGGGGAGGAGGGCGTAATTGGGAGACTGAGGTGTGAGGTGTCCACCTTCCCGGCCAGTGAGCCGGCAAAGCAGCCGCTGGCGGGGGCTCCCCGAGCACAGGGGATGGAGCTGCTGGCTAAGGAGGCTGCCCCTGTGGTCTCCCAGGTTTTTCCTGACCCTCAGACCTGGACTGGAGGGCCCCTCCTCCCCTCCCAGGGCCAGCTTCTCATGCCCTCAGGTCTGATGCCCCACCTCCCCAAGTGGGAGCCAGGTAGCATTCCGGGGCCAGGGGTTGCTGAGTCTGGCTCTGGGGGTGGAAATTCCCAGAAGCAGCCTTAAAAGGAGGAGCCTCCCTCCAGGGGGCAGGCGGTGGGCTTGGCTAGGAGCGCCTGCTTCCACTGCCTCTGTCACCCCTTGCCCCCCCCTCTGCTGTCTGGCCACCGGGATGGAGGTGTTAAGGCTGTCCCGACTGGCAGCAAATAGTGGGTGCAACAGGTTGGGGGCCAGGGATGGGGGACAAGGTGCAGGTAGGGCTGTGGAGGGACCCCGAGGAATCCAGAAAGCTGGCCTGCCGTCTCAGAAAAGACAGACTGGCGCACTGGCACCAACTACTTGTCTCTGGGCCCGGGACCTTTTTCTCTGAGAGATGCCTCCTCATGTCGGAGGACGGCAGGAGATAACTGCACCTAGCAGACGTCAAAGGCGTCCTATGTCCTGGGCCTCACTCACCATATGCCGCCCGGGCAGCAGCCACCCCCTGGGCCTCCACCCCAGCCTGGCGGCAGCAGCAGCTGCCTGGAATGAAGTGCCCACCGGCCTCTTCACAGGACCCCTGGTCCTACCCTGCCGGTATTACCCCATTCGACAGAGAAGGAAACTGAGGCACGGGGGTATGTAGTTTGCTCAGAATGACACAGCTAGTGAATGGTAGGTAGATCTAGGTTCCTAAAGTCAGTGCTCTTTCTAATCCACGTGGGTCTCTCTGGAGCCTGTCTGCTGCTGCATGCCCTCCAGGCTGCAATCACCAAGGTCCTGGAAGCTGGTGACCAGGAACTCTAACTGTTCCTTCCCCACAGAAGGTGGGTGATGGTGACTGTAGAAGCGAGCTTGTGCTTCTGGGTTTGGGGGGGGGGATCTCTGAGGGAAGCCCCCCCCCGTAGGGAAGGAGAGCTCACACATCAGCTCTGGGCTCCCCGGAGGTCTAAGTGCCCCCAGGATGGAGAGAGAAGGGGAAATGCTGGTTGTGGATGTATTTACCTAAAGAGATGAGCAGGAGGGCGAAACTCTCACCTCCAAGCCTCCTTCTCACCTTCCTGAGCTACGTCAATCCACAAAATTGTCTGCCACCCCTCCCCCCCCACAGACCAGTCCCAAGGCCACCTCCTGGCCACCTCCAGCTGTCCAGCCCCAGCACCTGGCTCCCAGCTCCGCCCCAGCGCCCTGCAGGGACTCAAGGCCCTGTTGAGCCTGCACTGGCCTGGGGGTGTAGTGGTAGCCCTGTCCCTGGGGGAGTCCAGGGTTGGTTGGAACCATACTGGAATCATAGTGTCAGAACCAGAAGGGGTCTTAGACATTCTGCATCTGGTCCAGCCTCCTCACCCACTGGTGAGGCCCAGGGGGGTCTCGCAGCTAGTGAGTGAGTGGCCCGACTCGGACAAGCTACCAGGTGCCCAGACTCCCAGGCCAGTGCTCATCATTTTCTGAGCATGCTCCAGCCTGAGCTCCTTCTCTGCTTTCGCCCTGACTGATGCTCCCGATCATTTCCATTTTCCACATTTGTTCCCTTTGGGGCCCAATTTAAACTCTGTCTCTTCTGCGGAAGCTCCTGAATCTACGTCTCTGCTGTGGCTGGTGCTTGCTCCAGCTCTGTCTCCTGGGGAGCCTGTGACCTCCCCCACGTCTCACCAGCTGCTAGCTCCCAGGTGGGGGACTCAGGGCAACCCCCTCCGGCCCTCAGTCCTGGGATGACAGGTGAGAGAGCAAGTGCTGGAAGGACAGTTCAGGCTTGGAGTTTGGGGTGGGCGGGTGAGCTGGGGGATGGAATTAAATCAAGAGTCAGGTGTGGGGAGTGCCACCTAGTGCGCTGTCTGGGCTCCAGTCCTCTGCCCTCTGAGACTGACTGCCTGGTTCCTGTCAGTGGGGGAGGGGCTTGTTGTCACTGGCCAGCCCCCCAGCCCGGCCTGGGTCTCCATGGTAACAGATGCCAGCAGTCAAGCTTGGCCTTGGGGCTCAGCCAGGGGCCTGTGCCAGGGGGCTCTGGGGCATGGCTGGGTAGCCAGTTTCATGGTGCGACATCTGCTCCTTGTCCCTTCCCATTTGTGCACCTGCAGGCCTGGCTTTCTGACTCAGCTTGCTCCTTTACCCCTATGGGAAGGCCAGTGCTGGGCTCCAAGAGGCGAGGCAGCATGGAGAGTGTTCCATGGATTTTTCTCCCCATCCCCAGGTCCTGTCCTCTCCGGGCTGCGTGACCCACCGCAAGTCCCTTCACTTCTCTGGTGTCAGCTTTCTAATTTATAAAAACAAAATGGCCATTACTGATGCTGTCAAAACTGCCACCACCACAAGCATCAACTGAGGTGGACGCTCCCTGAAAAGTATCAAGTGCCAAAAGAGTGGGGGCAAGGGGCCTAGACCCCCTTATGTGGTCCAGATTCGGTTTATCTCAACTTTGACCCACTCTCTCCCTTGACTAGAGGGAGCTGGGAGGCAGAAGGGTCGGGTTCATTAACATTTATGGGGGGAGGTGGCAGGAGGTGGTAAGGGAAGTGAGAAGTAGCCTGGGTTGCCTTGGTTAATCCTCACCCCCCAGTGCCAAGTTCAACACCCCCCAGCTGAGGCGTCTCACGCCTGCTCCTTCTAACAGCCCAGCTGGTGCAGACACAGAGCCCACAGAAACCACCTGCAGACCTGCCACTTGTCACCACCTGCTTCGACCCCAGCCCACCCTTTTCCTGTCGAAAAACAGAAGGGCTGGGGCTGGGCCTGGGGCTTGGGCAGGGCAGAGGGGCCCTTACAATACGGGGAGGACCCTCCATCCTTGCTGTGTGATCCCTACTGCCTGCCAGCACTTGGAGATTAAATCAGCTGGTTAGCTGTTGTGGACCCCGAGCCGAGCCGAGCCGGGTCTGCTGGGTGGAGGCAAAGGGAAGTGCCCCCCCCCCCCCCCGCGAATCCCTGCTTCGCTAGAGCTGGCTGGGGCCCAGCTGCCCGGGGGACGTCATGCCCACTCCTGCTTTCCGCTTCTGAGATGTCCTACCTCTCTGGCTGCTGTGCGGTTCAAGACCAGAGCTGGTGGTGGAGCCTGGCTCTTCCACTAGCTGTGCGGCCTTGGGGGCAAGTTGTTTTGCCCCCCTGTGCCTCACTTTCCAGGCCTGAGAAACCAGGTTACTGTAGTGAGGCACTCGGAGCAGCACCTCACTCCCAACACCTTATTACTAGAATCATGGCAGCTTCCTTTTTGTTCAGGCCTCCAAGCCTGCGCTTTCCTCAGGCCCTTTGCACTCTTGGCTTCTGCTCCTACGAGGGTCCTTCTGGCAGCTACTCACGAGGCCTGCCGCCCCCTTCTCGGCACTCTTCTCCTTTGAGGGACTTCCTCTGATCTCAACAGTACTTCTCCAGCCTGGAAGGGAGCCTGTTTCGCTTCCTCCAAAGCACTGGGCAGTAACTGACATTTTATTGGTGGCTTTGGTTCCCACTAGACTGTACATGACTTGATGTGAGGGATTTGTCTACCCTGTGTCACGAGGCCATGGTGAACACCTGCTGCCCACCTGGAGCCAGATGTGAACTGACGTCCCCTGTCACTATCTGGGCGACCCGAGGTCAGTGGCTCATTCTCATTTGTCAGAGGGGGTGCGCAATGCCTACACCTGTCTCCCGGGGTGTAGAAAGTGAGCAACAAGAATGGTAGCCCTACCCTCCTCCATCTCTCTGGCATGAAGAGAAGCTGAAGCTGAGCAGGAGCACTTGGGCCTGGCTGCTGACCTGCCTGTGCAGGCATCAAAGAGCTCCAACACTCTGGGGACCCTGCCTAGGGATCCTGGAGAGAGGCAGGGCCATCTCCCCAATGGCCCACTTTAGGTTTGGCCAGTGGGAGTGTGGGGGAGGGCCAGGGAGAAACCCAGCAGGGACCCTGCAAGTATAACCTCAAGTGGGGGCTCTGTGTGTCCTGATGGGTGAACCAGGCTCCAGGCCTGGGAGAGGGCAGGAGGCCAGAGCCACGCAATGGGTCATTCACCCCCTTGCCTATCCCCCACTGCTTTCCCTGAACACTTTGGTGAACCCTGTTCCCGTGGCTCCCAGAGCTGCCCTGGGAGAGCCCTAGCATGGGAGTCCACCTCCTGTAAGAGGCCCTCTACAGCCTCTGAAAAGCCTGCCTCACCTGCCCTGTCTGGGAGGGTTTCCTTGAAAGAACAGGCCTCTGGGCTCCTGCCTGACACAGATCTTCACACAAATGAGCAGGAGCTCAGCCTGAACAGGATGCAAGCCTGGAGAGCAGAACTAGCATCGTGCCTCTGAGGTTCCAGGAGACGTTCTGTGGACTTGACGGTGGAGAGATGTGGTTTGGGCCAGGAGAGAAGATCCTGAGGCCAGTCGGACAGGGGCAGGCAGCTCTGGCCCTTTGGTTTGGTCCCTGGAACACCAGCCAGCCAGAAGGGAGTGTGGACACCGGATGACCCACACCAGCTGGGGCTCCCTCCCTCAGACCAGGGGCAGAAATTTGAAGCTGGGCAAGGGGTTGAGAGATACTTGTTTCCCCCCCACAAAAGCTGGGGTGGGGGAGGGTGGGAGTGGGAGGGACTTTGAGGATGAGGGAGGGAGATAAAGGAGTAGAGCAGAAGCCCTTGGCTGGGCCACCAGGTCGGGGCGTGCTGGCCCGTGGCCGCCCTCTACCGGGAACGCGGGCTCGCTGCAGCCAGACTGCACGAGGGCCGGCCCCTGGGAACAGATGGCAGAAACAAGGTCCTGGCAAAGCAAACTTTATTAATGGCCCTGAGGTTGGAGCTCCAGGTCCTGCTGAACACTTGAGAGTTGGGGCGAGGGCCTCTCGTGTTGGCCTCAGCAGCTCCATCCCATTCAGACTCAGGTGGAGAGAGGCTGGGTGGGGGAGACCTGGGGTCACAGCTAGCCAGCTCTCCCTGGGTCGCTGCAGCCAGGCCACTCCTGGCTCCTCATTTCTTGGATCCTGGCTTTTTAGGTTTGAGTGTGGGTTTGGCCTATGGATAGAAAGGAGGGCGCCAGTGTCCCACTCTCCCTTCCCCCTGGACCCCAGGACCAGCCCCCCTTCTTCTGATACTCACCTTTTTCACAGGACTCTGGTCTTTAAGCCTGGGTCTGGAAGGGGTGGGGCAGGGCAGGGACAGGGGATGAGGGTGGGAAAGAGAGAGAGCTCAGCCGGACCCCAGTAGCCCAGACCCTCCTAATGCTCATGCTGAGAGCAGGGGGTTGCGGCCTGGGGAGCTGGAAGCTGCAGAATTCACCACCCCACCTGTCACCTGCTGTAGACCGCTGTTTGTTTGTTTGTTTATTTATTTATTTATTTCGCTCTCTGTTTTAAACAAGATGTCCTTTTCTTCTCAGGCTTCCATCTGCCTTCTTTTACTGATCACAAATAGGTCTTTTTCATGGCAAAAGTAATGTTTAACTACATTGCACAAAATACAGCAAATGGGGATTACTTATTTTCTCTACTTCCTACCAGTTCCAACCTTTTGGTGTGTTTCCTTTGAGGGCTTTTTGCTTTGTTTTCTTCTAAAAACATGTGAAACAACATGAAAATGACTTAATATCCTGTTTTTTTAAAAAATTCTATAAGCACTTTCCAGGATGCCATGTTCTCATAGGCATTATGTCCCATTCCATTGGGAACACGTGACATGGCTCCATCAGCTACTATATTGGTAGATATTTAGAATGCTTCCATTTTTCACCATTACTTGAATAATGCAGTGATAAGTTTCTTAGTGCATATCATTTTACCCCTATTTTGGACGGCATCCTTCGGAAGGAAGTGGCATAAGTGGAATTAGGGCAGAAGGTAAGAATATTTTAATGCTTTTCAAAAAAGGTCATGCCAGCCAGCAGTGGCAGCACACCTGGGCACTCATACCCGTGTGCACACACGCCAGGCTCTTTGTAGCCCCATACACCCCCGCTACAAGGTGTCGGCCAAGTTAGTAGATGGAAAGAGTTACCTCACTGCCTCCTCTTCTTTTTCCATCCTTTTTTTCTGGGAACCAAACACAAGTGTTATTGGGAGGGTTAGAGGGTCAGGGGGTTAGGGTGGGCCCAGGGCTGAGCAGATGCCCCTGGCGGGTCCCGTCCAGGCTTCACACACTCAGGCACAATCCACTCGGCAGGGCTGGCCCAGGTTTCTGAGGAGCCTCTGGGGGTCCCTTCCCTCACCTTGGCAACACTTGTCTGCTTCTGGGACGCCAGCCTCTTGACTTGTTTAACAGGGGTCTCCTCTAGGGACACATCTACATCATCGTCATCATCATCGTCATCATCAACCTCATCACTGTGACTTTCCTCCTCCTCTTCCTCCTCCTCCTCGGGGTCCTCCTCCTCTTCCTCCCAGGATACGTCTGCAGTGTCTACTGGCATGGAAAGGGGGCAGGGCTGTGGAGCTACAGCTCTCTGCCTAGCTCCTGGTCCGCCCTGGGTCTTGCTCTCAGAGCTGCCCCAGGGAAGCCAGCACCTGCTGCCTCCTATGGACCCTTTCTGACTTCTCTGCCAAAATGAAGGGTAAGGCGGTTGAGGGGCCCAGAACCCCAGAAAGCTTGGGGGTGTGCAGACGAAGGCAGGGGAAGTGGCCAGCTGTGGCTCTGGCTGGGAAGGAGTCAGGATGCTGAGGGCGGATGGGATGTGCCAGCAAAGGGAGGAACCCAAAACAGTAGCCAAGGAATTCAGATCTCATCCAAAGGGAAGTAGAGCCTGCCAGGGTTTTGGGATAGGACAGTACTCTGATGAAAGAGGCGCAATTGGACAGAGAAGGGTATGAAAGAGTCAATAGCACAGTGGTTTGTTGGGAGCCATATTACTCCTCCAGCTTCATGCTTCATGGCAGCTAACATTTTTTTAAAAAGATTTTATTTATTTATTCATGAGAGACACACAGAGAGAGGTAGAGACACAGGCAGAGGGAGAAGCAGGCTCCCTGCGGGAAGCCCAACACCTTGGGATCACAACCCAAGCCAAAGGCAGACGGTCAGCCACTGAGCCACCCAGGTAGGTGCCCCTCACAGCAGCTAACATTCTAAGTGTGGGCTAGTACTAGGCATCATGCAAACTGCTTTTTCCTGAATATCCCATTTATTCCTCACAACTGTTCTTTGAAGATGAAACCAAGTATAGCCCTGCCCCCGTGTTACAGGCAAGGGGACTGCAGCCCATAGAAGCAGGAAGGTAAAGGAGGACTTCCAGTCCAGACTACTGGCAATCATACTGCCTTTGGGGATTTTTACTAATGATTCAAGAATCTCTCTAGTTCTTGGGTACCTGGTCCCTCCTTGGCCCTGTGCTAGGCATTGTACTCTGAGACCTTCCCCGGGTCCAAGCTCCCACTTACTGTAACATTCCTGGCCACTGAGGAACACAGGTCCAGAGCCAGCCCGGAGCTGGAAAGTAACTGGAGGAGAAAGCTCCAATCCCATCATGACGACCTGCAGGGGGAGGGGAGAAGGGAGGGACAAGGACAGAGAAGAGAAGATGGACTCACTCAGCCCCGGCAGCTAAGAATGTATTCCCAAACCCCGAGTACACACACTTTACAGGTTCTCTGGACCACTGAGGTTATCCCTGGCCCTTCCTGTTGAGGTGGATCCTGTCAGAGAAGAATGTGAATCTGATAACCCCGTTATTGTAGAAGATCACAGACAGGCTTCCAAGCTGAGGGGCAGCTGTTAGAGAGGTCTGATTGCCACAGACTGAATTGTGTCCCCAGGTTCTTAGATGAAGCCCTAACCTCCAGACTGAGGATATCTGGAGCTGGGGCCTTTGAGAGGTAATTAGGATTTGATGAGGTCGTAAGAGCTGGGCCCTCATGATGGGATTAGTGCCCTTGTAAAGACCAGAGAGTTCCCTGTGTCTCTCTGCCAAGTGAGAAGAGATAGAGCCGCCAGCCAGCTGCAAAATCTGACCGTGCTGGCGCTCTGGTCTCAGACTTCCGGCCTCCAGAACTGTGACAAAATAAATGTTTTTTTATTGTTTGTTGTTTAAGCCACTTAGTCTATGGTATTTTGTTACAGCAACCAACCTGAATAAGACACTAAACAAATGAGAAAAGCAGACACAAAGTGATATGAACAGTACGAGTAGTGCATGGATGTACATACAAATAAAGTTAGACTTCTATTAAGTGTGGACCATAATTTTCAGTGGATAGTACGATATTTCTTTTCTTTATACTTCTCCAAACTTTCCAAATGTCCTAGAGTATCAATGATGATACTCCTATTTATTGACTTCCTACTGTGTACCAGGCCCAGTGCTAAGCACCTGCCTTATTCACCTAACCCTTCATAGCAATCCTGCAACGGAGGTGCCATGACTTTACAGAGGAGGGAGCTGAAGCTTAGGGAGATTAATTTAGAATTTTGGGCTCATACAGGAAGGAGATAAGCGAGAATTGAAACTCTGCAGCCATCAACACTTAGAGATGCTGGATAGAATGCACTCCAATGTGTTTATTGCATGGCTGACTAGTAAGCCAGAGGAAAGTGGTCCCATGATCCAGGAAGAAGGGCACCATGCACTAGGCCTGTTTCTATAGCAGCTGGGGGGAAATGCCCCGGAAAACAGCTCTGGCCTGGAGTTTAGACACATGCTCAGAGACATGGGGCAGGGCCCGGGCTCAAGAGAGGAGCGCTGTCAGGAGCTGTTGCATGGAAGCTAGGACCCTCCAAGGGTTGCATCTCACTAAAAAGCTCCATATTCAGGGTAAGGGTAGGGGGCCAGAGAATTCCAAAGCAACCTACTAGGCATCCCCACCCCCCACCCCAATGAAGGAAGGTAACAAAGAAATGCAAGGGTAATAAAAGAAGAGAAACTAAATCTGTGAGAACTTAAAAGCCCATGACTGTACCTCTCACACAAAGTTTGAATTCACTTGGTGAGGACTACCCAGTCAAGAAGCTGGTCTAAAATCCCAAGCTGGTGATGACATTCCTGGGGCCAATGACAAACACCGACATTAAACTATTTTCTTGGGGCACTGTCAATTATCTTCCCATGGTATTCTTTCAGGGTGAAAAAACAAGACCCTGAAGACAACTCCCCATCTAAAATGACAAGACACAATCCTGTTAGAGTGAGCAGAAGGGACAAAAATGACCCCAGACTAGCACAAGCAAAAATGTGAGGTAAAAGGAATAACAGCCTGAACAATCATGAAATCAGGCTGATGAAAATCAAATAAACAAAAGTAGGAATCAGAACCATAAGAATAGGTAGTTTGAGAAATAAAAAGAACCAAATGCAGCTTCTAGACTGAACAGATGGTTAGAAAGCTGAATAAACCAGCTAAAGCAAAGGCCAGGGAATTGGGATCACGCTATGAAGAAGCTGCCCAGTATGCAGCCCAGAAGACAGATGGACAAAATATGGGAGAGAAGCTGAGAGGTATGGAGGACAGAATGAGCAGATCCAACATGCATCTAGTCACAGCAAAGGATGAGAAACAATGGAGTCAATATTCAAAGTGATAACCAAGAGCTTCTGGAAACAATCAAGGACACAGATTCTCATGTCCAGGAAACCTAAGTCCTGAACAGATGAATAAAAATAAATGTACACCTGAACATCCCATTGTGAAATGGAGGGTAGCAAAAACAAAGAGTTAATTTTTTTTTTAGATTTTTAAATTTATTCAGAGAGAGAGAGACAGAGAGACAGAGAGAGAGGCAGAGAGAGAGGCAGAGACACAGGCAGAGGGAGAAGCAGGCTCATGCAGGGAACCCGACGTGGGACTCGATGCCGGGTCTCCAGGATCACACCCCAGGCCGCAGCGGTGCCAAACCGCTGCACCACCCATGCTGCCCACAAAGAGTTAATCTTAAAATAACTTAAAATCTGTCTTTGGGAAAGAAAGATTTCCCAAAAAGGGACAATAACCAGATGACAGAGGGTTTCCACAGCAATATCAGAAGCTAGAAAAATAGAATCATCAAAGTTCTGAGGGAAACTACCTCTGTATGTGGAATTATCATAGCCAAACTACCATGAAGGAATGAGGGTAAAAAAGGTATTTCCAGGCAAAGCCCAAAAAAGTTCACTCCTCCCAGACCTACTCAATGAAGTCTCAAAAAGATGACAATTACACAGCCACTCCGGAAAACAGTATGGAGTTTCCTCAAAAATAGAACTATCCTATGACCCAGCAGTTGCTCTACTAAGTATTTATCCAAAGGATACAAATATACGATTTGAAGGGGCAGCTGCACCCCAATGTTTAGAGCAACAATGTCCACAATGGCCAAATGATGGAAAGAGCCCAGATGTCCATCGACAGACAGATGAATGGATAAAGATATTTATATATATACACACACACACGAATATTACTCAGTCCTCAAAAACAATGGAATCTTGCAATTTGCAATGATGTGGATGGACCTAGAGTGAAATAAGACAGAGAAAGACAAATACAATATGACTTCACTCATGTGGAATTTAAGAAACAAAACAGGTGAACATAGAGAAAGGGAAGGAAAAATAAATTAAGATAAAAGAGAGGGAGGCAAACCATAAGAGACTGTTAACTCTAGGGAACAGACTGAGAGTTGCTGGAGGGAGGTGCATGGGGGGGGCGGTTACTAGGTGATGGGCAGGGGCACAGAATGTGATGGTGAAGGAGGGCACTAGGTGAAGGACGGCACAGGATGTGATGAGCACTGAGTGTTTTATGCAACTGATGAATCACTAAATTTTACCTGTGAAACTAATAATACACTATATGTTGACTAAACTGAATTTAAAGTCTTTTTTTTAAATTTTTAAAAATTTATTTATGATAGTCACAGAGAGAGAGAGAGAGAGAGGCAGAGACACAGGCAGAGGGAGAAGCAGGCTCCATGCACCAGGAGCCCGATGTGGGATTCGATCCCGGGTCTCCAGGATTGCGCCCCTGGCCAAAGGCAGGAGCCAAACCGCTGCACCAGCCAGGGATCCCAACTAAACTGAATTTAAATAAAGTTTTTTTTAAAAAAGAGGACAATTGGGGCAGCCCCAGTGGCGCAGCAGTTTGGCACCACCTGCAGCCTGGGGTGTGATCCTGGAGACCATAGATCGAGTCCCATGTCGGGCTCCCTGCATGGAGCCTGCTTCTCCCTCTGCCTGTGTCTCTGCCTCTCTCTCTGTGTGTGTCTATGAATAAATAAATAAAATCTTAAAAAAAGAAAGAGGACAATTACATGGAGAGAAAAGAAATGGATACAAGCAGCAGTGATGAGCAAGCACCTTGGTCAACAAAGAAAAAGTAAGCATTACTGTAAAATAAAATCATTCTAGTTAATGACAAGTATGGAGTAGGTTTAAAACAAGCTGAAGCTGGGGCAGCCCCGGTGGCACAGTGGTTTAGCGCCGCCTACAGCCCGGGGTGTGGTCCTGGAGGTCTGGGATCAAGTCCCACGTTGGGTTCCCTGCATGGAGCCTGCTTCTCCCTCTGCCTGTGTCTCTGCCTCTCTCTGTGTCTCAATAAATAAATAAAATCTTAAAAAAAGAAAAGAAAAACAAGCTGAAGCTAAGACATTTCATGATAACGACATATAAGTTAAGAAGAGGGTAACTGGAAAATCTCCCTGGATTGTTTGGGGGGCAAGAATAAAATTAATTTTAGACTGATCATGCATGATTGTTAAAAAATTAAGAACCAATAAAAATCAGAAGGAGATTCAACATCTTCCAAACTAGTAGAGTAGGGGAAAAGAAACCTTTACCTACTAAAAGAAAAAGGAGAAAAAAGAAAAACAAAACGTGAAAAAGCAAGGAATGTAGAAGCACAAAGTACAGGTTACAAACAAATCCAAGTATATTAGTATCACAGTAATCATAAGCAGACTATATTGGCCAGATGGATTAAAACAAAACATAGCTACTTACTGCTTATAAGATACATACCTAAAATATAAGCACACAGAAATGTTGAAGAAAAGATATGAAGGCATATGTACCAGGTGTGGCAGAAACTTCTCATGGCTTATCCAATATCTATTCTTTCCTTTTTCCATAATAACTATGCCCTGATATTATTCAAATACTGCACCCATGAAGACTGTATCCCGGTTTCCTGTACTGGGGGATACACAGTTGGCTGTGGCTGTGTTATTAATTTCTGGACCAATGAGTTGTAGGCAGAATTTGGTGGGTGGTGCTTGTGTGAAGACTCTAGAAGAGGGAGACAGAGAACCTAGTAAAGTCCCTTTGGTCTCCCCCTGTTTCTTCTTGCTGATTACTCTAAATGCAAAAGTGAGAGCTGGAGCTACAGCAGCCTTCTCGGACTTTAGGACAATCTTGAGGATGGAAGTTTTGAACCAAGAAGAGAAAGAGAAGACCAAGTCTTTGGTGACCGTGGAGCCAGCTTACCGGCCTTGTACTGCCTATCTCTGTATATCTTCTATCCAAGACAGAAATGAATCCTGAATGTTTTTGAGTCCCTGTAGTTGGG